AATCTAGAATACTTCATGACTACACACAGACTAAATGAAATACAGCTATGTTGAATGAATATTCTCTATCAATTCAACTTCAGAATTGATTACCAGTCAAAGAAGTTGAACACTAGATCAGACATCCTATCATGAAGAGAGCAGGACATGTCACAGGGTGCTGATGATGAGAGAATCAAGCAGAGACAAGTTCAACTACTTAAGTTTAATGTACTGGCACCTGAAATGAAATCAATAGTGGCTACTGCTAGTGTGAAACCTGAGATGTCTCTTCAAGCTCAGTGAAATGAGGCTCACAAAAATGACAAGATTCTGCAGTGTCTGAAGCAAACTTTTTGTGAGAGAAAATTCAGATTTTCTTCTGAACTCAGCATTAAGACCTCTGTCTCTGAGTGCTCTTTAAATGAGAATGAGGAGCTTCTCTTTTGAGATCATAAGTGAGTGCCAGACTTCAAACCTCTTCAAATCAGATTAGTGCATAAGACTCATGACTCACCTCTTATCAGCCATTCCAGGTGAGAGCAAATGACAGAAGTTCTAAGATATGAGTTCTACTGGTTAGACTATGTCACTGATGTGAAAAGAATAATCAGGAACTGTCATCTTTGCAGATCAAACACTGCATGAAGAGATCAACATCAGAGACTGCTTAAGCCTCTTCTCATTTCTGAATGCATGTGGCAGAAGCTTTTCATAAACTTTATTATGAACTTATCAAGCTCTAAAGAATACACAAACATCATGATTATAACAGACAGACTGATCAAGAAGATTATATTAAAAGCAGTTAAGAAAACTGATGTGAAGACAGTGACTAGAGTATTCCTTCACAATATCATTTCTCAACATAGCATTTCTAAGACAGTAGTGTCAGATTGAGAATCAGCTTTCACAAGCATGTTTTAAACTTGAGTGTGTGAGAAATTAGACATTAAGAGATGACTCTTCACAGTCTATCACTCAGAGACAAATGGAGCTACAGAGCAAATAAATCAGACCCTGGAAATCTACCTACACAAGTACATTAGCTTTCAACAGGATGACTGATGTGAATGACTTTCTCTAGCAGAGCTGATCATCAATAATAGAGATGCTGTCTCAACAGGTGTGAGCTAATTCTTTTTAACACATTTTTTTCACATCTCCTTCATTGATATAGCTGATGCACCCTCTATTGAAACATCACATAATCTCATTGAATTTGCAGATAATTATATGAGAAAGGTCTATGAAGTGTTGAAGTAAACTCAAGTAAAAATGATAGATACTCAGCAATCTCAAAAGAAATATGTGAATAGACAAAAAGACCTGACTTCAAGCTTTCAACCTGGAGATAAGATCTGGTTGAGCTTAGTGAACATGAGAACTAATCACCTGTGCAAGAAGCTGAATGTGAAATACAATCAATATACTGTGCTAGAAAAGATAGAATTTCATGTTTACTGACTGAATGTTTCATCTGACATTCACAATGTCTTTAATGTAAAGCTCCTACATGCTGTGATGACAGATTCCCTGTCTAGTTAGAGGCAAACTGACTGACAGTCACCTGCTATAGAGACCCTGAAAGGACCTGAGTTTGAGATTGAGGAAATTCAGAATGAACAAATCTATCAGAGGAAAAAGCAATACCTTGTTAAATGAGTAGGTTGGGCTGAGTCTACATGAAATGACATGAGTCTTCTATAAGAAGTAAAGGCTTTGAACATTTGGGAGGCCTCTCAACAGGCAAAATTAGATGTAAAGAGGGCTTTAAATAGTCATAAAGGCCTGCAACAAAGAGGGAGAAGGGGGGTATTATAAGGAGTTGAACTCTTAGATTTGCTCTAACTGGCTGACTCAGCCTAGCCATCATTCACATGTGCGCACATGATCATGCTACGTGAGCTTGCTTAAGCTCAAGTTCTCATCTCATTCTTTTCTTCCCTTTCTCAAGCAATTCGTCCTTGTTATATAGGAGGACTAGCCTCTAGTTTTTAGAGCTTAACCCTTTACAATAATATTTTGACATTGATATCAATTTTCATATGAATGATTAAAGACATTTGATGATATATTTAAAGTCATTCAAAAGAAATATTAAAGTAAGTATAATTGATAAATATCAGAAACAGATCAAGAAAATAGAAAATATTCTTTTATAATTAAAAGAAAAGAATATTATAATTTAAAATATATACTAAATCTCAAATTTCACTATTAATTTGTTATTATTTATAAAGTTAAAATATCAAGATTTAAGATTTAAACTATTTTTAATTATCTTATTATATTTTATTATTCATACTCTGAATAATATCATATTTATTATTATTTATATACTATAAAGCTTTATCTATAAGATTATTAAATAAAACTTGAAAAATAATATTCATTATATATTCAAAGTGATTAATCATATCATTTAATTTTATAATTATAAAGATATAATAATGATAGTTAATAAATTCAGTATTCAATTCAATAAATCAACTGTATTCTCATAAAGAAAATAACTATAAATAGAATTAGTCTTTAAGTATAATAGTGTTTAAATATTTTATATATAATATATTATATTTAAATTCTAGAATAAAATAACTAGTTTTGACTATGCAGAAATATCTCACCTGTTGATATATAGAGAAATATTGAGTATGATTACTTGATAACTATACTACATTACATGATGTATATATATATCAATTAGCTAGCTAGTTTCTTCCATTAATAAAAGATTAATTATCTCACATATTTTACTTTTACTTAGCTAACATTTAATACATACAATAATGCTATTCTTCTATAAGTTATAATCTTTAAAGAAGCTATAAAAAATTATTGAAATAATATATTAAAAATATTTTCACATATTATTAAATATGTATTTAGATATCTTACTAAAAAATATTAATTGAATCAAATAATCAATTTCAGATTTGATAGATTGCCTGATTTAATGAAAGATTATATATTATTATATATAATAAAAAACTCAAAAACATCAAAAAGACAAGAGTTAAATGCAAGTTCATTGTTTATATCTGCAAGTAAATGAAGAACAGCAGTCTCAGATGTATTTAAATCTGATGAGACAAATAAAAAAAAATCAAATAATTTAAATATTAACTACAAAGATTCAGTTGATAATAAAATTTTAATGAAAATTCTAAGCATTCAACACAATCACAACTACTAAGAAGCTTATTTAGATATGGGTGTGAACGTGGACATAGACGTGAACACGGATGTAAAGACTTGAATATGGACATGAATGTGGACTTGAATGTAAACATAACAAAAATTCTGAGCATTCAGCATGGTTACAACCACTGAAAGCTCATTTAAACATAGACGTGAACGTAAATATAAAACCTGCCTATTCAATCTCTAGAGCTTTTTGAGAAAAAGAAATTTAGTATTATAATATGACTTAATCTAAAGTAAAAATGATAAGATAAAGTTTTAATTCATTTATTTAACTAGATAGCCTGTAACGAGAATGCTAAACTGAAGAATATAATATGAAATAAAAGAGTAATTGAATATAAAGAAATTGAGAATTAAGCTGATCAATTTTAATTTATATTACAAATTCATATTACAAGTAGCTATGCTATAATTATATATATATATATTTAATATTATATTTTATAAACTTATTATAATCATTAATTATATTTAAATATAAAATATAATAATAATAATATAAAATTAATAATAAATTTAATATTTATAAAAGTATTTTAAATATATAAAATTATTTAATTTTTTAAGATTTTTTTATATTTATTTCTTTTTTTAATATAAATAAAAAAGTAATAAATAATAAAAGTTTTTAATATTTTTATTTTATATTTTAATAAGATATAATTTATTAATAAGATTATATAGAACTAATTTTTTGATTTTTTTAAATATATATATAATTTTAAAAAGTATAATTTGAAATTTTTTATAATATAAATTATTTATATTAAAATTTTTAAAGTTTTTAATTTATATAAAATTTAACTTTTTATTATAAAATATAATTTTTTAATAATAAGTTTTTTTAGTTTTAATTAAGTAATATAATTAAATAATTAATTAAAAATTTATTTACTTTATAGCTAAGTATATTTTTAATTTTAATTTATTAGTTTATATTTTTGATTATTATATATTTTATTTATTTTAAAACAATCTTTAAAATATAAAAATATAATTTATATAATAAAAAAAATAATACTTATATAAAATATTTATTTTATAACTTTATAATTTTTAATAATATATTTAATTAATATATTTTTTAATATTTTATTTTAATATTTTATTTTTATTTTTCTATAAGTAATATAAAATTAGTTTTTTATTTTATATTAATTTTATATTAAACTTTAATTTTTTATGATATTTTTTTCTTTTAATAAATTTAATTTCTATATATAAAACATTTAGTAATTATTATTAAAATTATTAATAAATAATAAGTTTATTACAATATAGTTAATTAAGATTATATTAAATTAAATAAATTTTATTAACTTACTATGCAGATTTTTTTTTTTTGAAATATATAATAAATTTTCTTCTTATATAAATAAAATATTTTTTATACTTTTAATTATTAAATTAGTTATTCAAATTTATTTATATAGCTAAACTAATTTTGATTAAATTAGTAAGTAGTAAACTTTGACTTTACAAATAAAGTCAATATATCTCTAGATTTGTGTAAGAATCGAAGCTAATTATTTATTTTACTTAATTATTAGGAAATTAGTGGTAATTCGCTTCCACCGACCGAACCTCTGCTGCTGTTGTTGACTTGAGCCAGTCAAAAGTCTCGATATCTGAGCTGCGTATTAGGTAATCAACAAACAGAGGAGTCACATGACACAAAGCGAAATGAATAGCAAGGTTTATACCATAACGGGTTAGAGTAGAATACACGTATTGGGTTAACTAATGGTCCCATTTCGGCCGTTGGGGTTTGGTTTGACGCACTGTTATTGGGCCCAAGGGTCTCCAACATTTCAATACGCAGTAATGTGGGCTGTGCCAATGCCCGGGCCGTCATTCCCCGGGTCACGGGTTTCCACGCCATTCACACGGACCCCAATTTGTAAGTGGGACCGGAAAAAGTTCAGTCCCCGCCCAGCTCTTGGAAATGTTCAGCTGCATCTAATTTCAACTTCAACGACTTCAACCTCAACTTCAAACCGATTCACTTCCTGGTTTCTGCATCTCTGGGTTCTGTCCGTCTGATCCGTCTTTGTCGATCCCCCCGGTAATAGTCATGGGAGCACCCAGACTGCGCACGGAGCCAGAATGCTAATTCCAGACGCCTCACCCGCATCCTCGTTTCAACGACCTGCACTTGTTGTGTGTGGAGATTCCATTCGGTCTTTGCGAGGTGTTGGACGTGGCAGTATCCAAACGTGTTGTTGGCCCTGACCTCTCTCAACCACATCCACCCACCCCACGACTCACTCAGCTATATCAGCTACATCAGCTACAAAAGGACACGACGGATCGTTTTCACTCTAATTCTCGTCATTTCGATTTTTTAATTTTAATTAATTTCTTTCCCTCTTTCCTTCAATTTTGAGCCGTTATATTGCTGTTGGGGGAACTTAGATCATCGCTTCTCCATATTCAAACAACTACCTACTTTCGCCTTCATCTTCATGCGTTTTGGGCTATTACTGAGCACCGTCTCGCCTTTATATAGATCTGTAAGGCTTGGCTGCTCATTCTAAAACCCCCACATAATTCACCTAGTTCCGCAATCATTCCTCGACCTCGGATCGGACGGCGTGAGTGCGATTTTCATGTTCTCCTTTTACAAGCTAGATTAATCAGTGAATTACTTGACCCTGTGAAAGCCTAAGCCGAACAACGCCTGGGCCATTCCCGTTTCACGAATCGCAAACAGTTGCGTGCTCCATGATTTCCTTCGTCCTCCAATTTGAAGGGTCTAGCATTTTATAAATATTTACTTTTTTCATCCCTGATATATATAGCGGCCTTAACAATGCCTTATACGCCGGAGCTTCCCCAAGGTGTGCAACCTGGAGATTTCCTGGTAGTCGTCCGTGAGTAATCCTTTTCTTCTACGCAATTATAAGTTGCCAGGGCCTGGGCTTATCGCACAATCTGAGATAGACGACTTTCAAGCTCGTGGAGCCGACGAACTCACCCTTCGCAGAGGAGACAAGGTTGAGTTACTGGAGCTCGATGAAGGCTTTGGGGATGGATGGTATTTAGGCAAACATGTGGCTGAAAATAGAACTGGTCTTTTCCCCGGCGGTAAGGAACCTCAAAAAGTAACTTTTTTATACTGTCGTGATCACAATTGATTAAGTGATGCGTTAGTTTATACGACAACCATACCCAAATTAGGAGTTCGTCAACAACCATCAAACACAGCTTCAAACTCAACTACTCCATCAGGATCACAGAGAAATAGTGAGCCGCCGGGCTCACCTAAAGTAACGGAAATTTCTTCAACTCCTGCCTCGCCATCATTCAATGACGACATAACCCCACAAGCGTCACGTCAAGTGAGTGGGGTCGATTTCAAACCTTCTCTTACTGAGACATCTGTAAGTGATACGTTAGTACTACCTGCCCAACAACCGCAGCAAGGATCTACCACGTCACCACCACTGTCTTCCTCATTTCCCATGCAGCAGACAATGCAAAGATCTATGAGCGAAGTCATGTCGGCTCGTCAGAACGGTGACGATAGTCCAGTTATGAACGAAACCCTGAGTGTTATAGATGAGCATATCACCAATTTCAACACTCCTCGCCATAGCTTTGTTGCTCATGACCAGAAAAATCACAACGATTCCGGCAGTGAGTACAGCAGCCATCTGGATCACAGAATTTCATACATCCCCGGCGCAGAAACCGACGAGGAGGAGGTAGCTACACTCACAGAAGCTGCAGTAAGGAGTTGGGATCACCACCAGACAGCCCAACATCTTCACGAACTTGGTGTTGATCCGAAACACTGCGAGATCTTTGAGGAGCAGGAAATTACCGGAGATGTTTTGTTGGAGATGGACCAGGAATTCATTTACATGAAAGAGTTCAACTTTGGGGTTATGGGGAGAAGATTGAAGACGTGGCATATAATCAAGACCTTCCAGGAAGAGATTAAAGGCATTAAGTGGCCACGGAAGTCCACATCTCCCTTCTCCAACAAAGACCGCTCTTTTGAAGACTTCGATCGATCTCAGAGTCGAGCAGGAGGCTCATTTCTTCCAAGGATTCCCAGCCTCACTGAAAGTCATACCCACCGCGCACACCAATCGAGAAGTGCCTCTGCGAGACGCTCTCCAGGAATAGCGTCCTCAATATCTTCAACTCTCAGTAGTAATATTTCATCTATTTCTCATCTAAACCAATCAGCCGGTTTAGATGGTGCTTTGAGACCGTCAGCTGCGTCCGTTCGCCAATACAACTATCCTCGCCCGCATTCATCAATAGATGGCTCACCAGCATCGTTAAACCAGAATAAGAAGATAGTTGGAAAGCCAACGCAGACTCCTCGAGATGCGAAATCTTCCTTTGACAGGGGATGGACTATGGCCTCGGGTTCGCAACCAGTACGTGGTCGGCCTGATGCGTGTATCGGATCCCAGGGAGGATCTGTTCGCCAGCAAGCACTTGGTGGTCCTGAACCTGGTGACTCCGATTCCTCTTTCGCGGTGGACCCTGTTGATTTGGATCGTGGATATTTCTCTGGTGGTGAACTAGATATGCGGAAGATTCGCAAAGTCCTCACAAAGCGCGATTCAACAGGTGGAAGTTACAGCCATTCGAGGCAGTCCAGTGCTACTGCAGAGGATTTGAAACAAATTCGTGTTAAACGGCACTCGCGTTTTGGTAGTGTAGATTCGATCCGGGATTTTGTACCCAATTTTTCTTCGCCCAAGCTTCTCCAGGGAGGATCATTCAAAGGTCAGTTTGATGACTCTAGCCTCACTTGCAAGGATTCACTTGCGGACCAGTCTCAAACTCCCACAGTGACGAACTTGGAAAAAACCACGAGCCCGAGCCATGGTATTCTCTCTGCACTCTCCCCTCTTTCCTCGAAGACAGATGGAGAAAGCTCAGGTCGGTCGTCTCCACTGCCGTCCTCCAATCTCAAAAATGTTGCACCCAAAGTACGTCGTGCCATAGGCTTACGCGCTATATCTGACGCAGTCACTGGACAAGAGAAAGCATTGGTCTCGTCTCCTATATCATATCTGCCGAAAGAACCTCTGAAGTCCTCGAGTACGACAAATTCGAGTACCACATCTGGTGCGTCCAAGAGCTTCGACATAGAAAGCACAGATAGCTCTGCGAAAAACGTCGAGGGGGCGTTTGCCTTAGTAACGATGGCAAAGGCTTCCAATTCTCGCTCTAAATCGAAGAAAGATACAAGTGCATACACGCGAGGGCTGGAGAAAAAGACACCCCAAGAACAAATGATCGGATGTGACTACTCGGGCTGGATGAAGAAAAAATCTTCTAACCTGATGACCACATGGAAACCGCGCCTTTTCGTTCTCCGTGGCCGCAGATTGTCTTATTATTACTCGGAAGATGACACGGAGGAGCGAGGACTAATCGATATCTCCTCACACCGCGTATTCCGCGCCGACCAGGACACAATCACTTCTCTCCACGCTACACTCACCGGAGCAACCGCTTCTCCAACCTCGCCAAATAACAAGGGTGGTGGGAAGACCTCAGATACTGTCTCAGATACCTCCAAGACTTCTGCAATCGATACTCCGTTCATCTTCAAACTTGTCCCCCCGAAAGCCGGATTATCACGAGCGGTCCAATTTACCAAGCCCTCCATTCATTTTTTCCAAGTCGACAACATCCAACAGGGTCGTCTGTGGATGGCGGCGCTGATGAAAGCGACCATCGAGCGGGATCTGAATCTACCCATCAAAACCACAAACAAGCAGAAGACCATTAGTTTGAAGCAGGCTCGCGCTATGAACCAGCGCCCTCCTGCGCTCATGGGTTCAGAACGCAAGGACAAGGATGTCAATAATAGTAATAACAATAATAACGCTAATAGCGGCAACAGCGCTGCTTCGGAGAAAGATATTGATTCAGCCAACGGGCAAGCTGGCGAGGGTCTGAATGTTGAGACTCAGAAGGATGGAGAAGGAAATGATAAACAGCGTGCTAGCTTGGACCTAAAGAGGCTTGAAGCTGGTGATACTGGGACATCTGAGTTGATGCCAAGGCCGCAGACTATTTCTCAGTGATTGCTTTTCTTTCTTCTTCTTTTCATTTTTGTTTGTGTCCCATATATCTATCTATTGTTGTGCAAAAGGCATATTTTACCCTTAAGTTATGTCTTGAATTTGCCCTACATTTATAACAATGCATGCATTTCCCCCCACCGTCATTCTTTTTCTTCGACACACACACATACACACACCATTTCTTCGCTTTTGTTACCTTATTCTTCAACACCAAGTTCTATCTTCATTTCATTTGTGTCCTTTTTCCTTTTCTTTCCTTTGCAGGAGTTGAACATATGGCGCTCCATGAGATATACCCTTCCCTTTAGAAATATTTCTTTTATTTCTTTCCCCCTTTGACGATATGAATTAAATCGATATGAGGAGGAAGATGAATGAGTTTGAGAACAATGAACCGACGTTGAAATATTTTTTAATCTCTTTATTCTTTCATTTCCCCCCCCCCCCCCCCCCCCAAAAAAAAAAAAAAAAAAAAATTACAGAGGAGCGCTCCACTTTCCCTTTCTTCCTTGTTTTTTTTTCTTTCTCCTATTTCATCAAGAATTTGTAATTGATTGATATGGCATTTTGTTTTCAGTCCTTCAACATAGTTTACATCAACTAGTGTTTTTTCCTCTCGAAAGTGAAGGTTTATTTTGTACACTACTTTTAACTGCTATTAGAGCAATAATACCACTGTATAGCTTTCATTCCTGTATATAATTGTAGTGTGTATTGTTTTGACAAGTAAGTCTTATCTGCCTGTGTACGGGCATGTTTTACTTTGTCCCTCCTGCAGCTCTCATAGTGTTCAGAAGTGGCGCAAGAGACGCGAGCCCTGCCGAGCAAAGGGACAACAGCCTCCCTCCTATTTCCCTCCACAGACCCCGTAATGTTTCACCCCAAGTAGCCCTTCTATTATTCGCAGACAGGGTATTTTCTATATACCACATTTTATAAATATGAAAATAAGACTCAACTGACAGTAGTGTGGTTAGACAGAGAGTGAAAAAACGGACTTCCAATGCCTGCGACTCTATGTCCCTCCAGACCTCCCTTCACCAACTCCTCTCCATCCTCCTCCCCATCTCAATAACATCACTCACCTACCTCTACCTCTACCCAATATTCTGTGGCTGCAACTTCCCCCTCCCGGCCTCAAGCCCTTCCAACCCTCCCGCTCTCCTAAATACCCTCCGCCAACACA